GAAAGGTTGAAAAGTTAAAATATAAAAGTGGTTGGGGGGGGGGGGGGGGGGTCATGAATTGAACAAATTTGAATCTACATTATCTGAGGATGCTTCCATTTAAATATGACCGATCATGGCTTTGCTGTTCTTGAGTAGAAGATTTTTAAAGATTTAACCTATGTATTCCTATGTAAAACTTTGATCACCCATTGTGGCCCCACCAGACCCCCAGGGGTCATGAGTTGAACAAACTTGAATGTGCACTATCTAAGAATGCTTCCATATAAATATGACCAATCATGGCTTTGCTGTTCTTAAGAAATAGTTTTTTTAAAGATTTTTACTTGTGTTCCTCCTTAAAACTTTGATTGCCCATTGTGGCCCCACCCGACCCCCGGGGGTCATGATTTGAACAAACTTGAATCTACACTACCTGAGGATGCTTCCACGTAAATATGACCAATCATGGCTTTGCTGTTCTTGAGAAGATTTTTAAAGATTTTTCCTATATATTCCTATGTAAAAATTTAATTGCCCATTGTGGCCCCACCCGACCCCCAGGGGTCATGATTTGAACAAACTTGAATCTATACTACCTGAGGATGCTACCATATAAATATGACCAATCATGGCTTTGCTGTTCTTGAGAAGAAGATTTTTAAAGATTTTTCCTTTATATTCCTATGTAAAAATTTGATTGCCCATTGTGGCCCCACCTGACCCCCGGGGTCATGATTTGAACAAACTTGAATCTACACTACCTGAGGATGCTTCCACGTAAATATGACCAATCATGGCTTTGCTGTTCTTGAGAAGAAGATTTTTAAAGATTTTTCCTATATATTCCTATGTAAAACTTTGATCCCCCATTGTGACCCCACCTGACCCCCGGGGGTCATGATTTGAACAAACTTGAATCTACACTACCTGAGGATGCTTCCACATAAGTTTCATATTTTCAAGCACAGTGGTTCTTGAGAAGAAGATTTTTTAATGATGCCATTAATTTTTCACAAATTCTTAATTATCTCCCCTTGGAAGAAGGCGTGGCCCTTCATTTGAACAAACTTGAATCCTCTTTACCCAAGGATACTTTGTGGCAAGTTTGGTTGAAATTGGCCCAGTGGTTCTGGAGAAGAAGTCGAAAATGTGAAAAGTTTACAGACGGACAGACAGACGGACTACAGACAAAAAGTGATCAGAAAAGCTCACTTGTGCCTTCGGCTCAGGTGAGCTAAAAAGTTGTTTTGTAATGCTTACAGAAAGTATCTTGTAGGTAATAAATTTAGCAATACGTTTTTCAATGTGCACACGATGCTTTGCAATCTTTTCTGTGCGGTAACCTGAGAATCGTTTAAGCTAGAATTTTTTGTTTTTGGGACGGAGGTGGGGGTTGGACTCATGATATACCGTAGCCAGGCTGCCGGGAGGATGACTCACTATATAGCCAGTCTTCCAGGGGAAGTCACCATAGGGAAATCCCACTATGCAACAACGACAATGAAGCACAGCATTTACACAATGTGTGTGTGTGTGTGTTTTTTTTTGTTATTTTGTTTTTTTTGCTTATTTGGAAAAATTTTAATTTTATGGTTTCTGGGTATCGAGTCCATTATCTGAAGCCATGGTTCGAGGTCCGCATCTAGCTCTCTCGATCTGTAAATTGGGGAGAGGATCGCACTTTTTGTTAAAATGCACACAAATAATTTTTTAAAATCGTAGAGAGATGGCTGGGAGATAGCATATTAAAACTAGAACTGTCCAAAAGGGACAAATACCCCCCCCCCCCGGGTTTTTCAGAGAAAGTACCAAATCACTAATGTTTTCTAGATGTGAGAGGTGTTCACAATTTCCTTAAACATTTACAGTGAAAATTTAATTACTCATTATATATTTTTATACGTCCGTCTTACGACGGGACGTATTATGTTATAGCATTCATGTTCGTCCGTCCGTTAGCTTTTTCATGTCCGGCTCATAACTTTAATACTATTAGGCCTAGAATTATCAAACTTTTTCAACTGATACATCTAGGGTAGAAGGTGTGTTGCACATTAAAACCAGGTCGCTCTGACCTTTAATGAAGACGCTATGGCCAAATATGGAAAAATCATAACTAGAAAACCATTAGACTTAGAATCAAAAAACTATGTCTTTTAACTTTTAAACTAGTGGGTATTGTTTTTTTTACAAAAAAACACATGTCTCCCCTTCTTTACCAACATTAACGAGTGCAAATATATGATCAGGGTCAAAAATAATAATGCAGTGCATCTCAACTCAAATTCTGTGTACAAAATTTCAAGTCTTCATGTCAAACGGATCTCAAGTAATGGTCTGGTCGTGTTTTTCTTAATTTGACCTTGAAGAAATGGTCAAGGTCAAATATTTTGATATAGTGCATTTAGTCTCAATGTTGTCTTTCCTTGTTCCAAGTTTGAAATCCTAATGTCAAAAAGTTCTCAAGTTATGACCTAGACTATATTTTCATGTAAATGATTGACCTTGACTTTATTAATAGGTCAAGGTGAAAAAAATGTTGCCATTCACCCTTCCTCTATACCACCTCTCCATGTTCCAAGTTTGAAGTCTTAATGTCAGGGTTCTCAAGTTATGGTCTAGTCATGTTTTCTCTATTTGACCTTGAAGAAAGGGGTCAAGGTCAAAATTTTGAAGCGTTGCATCTTGTAACAATGTCTTCTTTCTATGTTACAAGTCTGAAGTCCTAATATCAAAGGGTACTAAAGCTAAGGCCTAGACTCTATTTTGATGTAAAAGATTGACCTTGACCTTATAATAATTGGATCAAGGTCAAAAATTTTGGTGCGTGCATCCCTCCTTCATACCACTTCTGCATGTTCCATGTCTGAAGTCTTTATAACAAAGAATTCTTAAGTAATGGTCTAATCAAGTTTTTTCCCTATTTGACCTTGAGGAAGAAAAGAGGTCAAGGTCAAAAATTTTGGTGTGTTGCATCTTGTATCAATGTCTTCTTTCTCTGTTACAAGTTTGAAGTCCTAATATCAAAGGGTACTCAAGCTATGGCTTGGACTCTATTTTGATGTAAAAGATTGACCTTGACCTTATAATAATTGAATCAAGGTCAAAAATTTTGGTGGCATGCATCCCTCCTTTATACCACCTCTGTATGTTCCAAGTTTGAAGTCTTAATGTCAAAAGGTTCTCAAGTTATGGTCAGATCATGTTTTTTCCCTATTTGACCTTGAAGGCAGAAAGGGGTCAAGGTCAAAATTCTAATGCAGTGCATTTTGTCTCAAGGTCTTCTTCCTATGTTACAAGTTTGAAGTCCTAATATCAAAGGGATCTCAAGTTATGGGCTGAACTCTATTTTGATGTAAAAGATTGACCTTGACCTTATAAATAGGTCAAGGTCAAAAATATTGGTGGTGTGCACTCCTTCTCAATGTCATCTATCTATGTTAAATCAAGAAAATACTAGTCTTATTTTTTTTCATTATGTTCTTTACAGCAATCTGTAACAACAAAAATTCCACCTCTCCCATGGGTGTAATGATCAGGCACTGGTCAAGGAAAATTTTGATAGCAGAAAATTGCATGTCAAATTAGAGAGAAATTAATGAGTTTAGTGTGAGGAGATAACTGGTAGAGCATCTCTGAACAAGCTGGTGTTATCTACATCTCTTGGGAATTGGGCAAAAGGAATCAGTCTCTTAATTAATTGCTTGTGTTGTATTGAATTGTTCTTGTTGGCTAGTCTTACTTTCAAGATAAATTTGATGTAATTAAAACTAATTTGATATTGTATATAATAATTAAAACTTATATGATATTGTATAATATATATATGATATATCATTTGTATTCCTTTGTATAATATAATTTAAACTAATTATTTATTGTACATTTTTTATTTGAATTTTTATATCTTTACAACAAATTGCAGACTGCCTTGTCTCGCTAAGATGTCATTCAAACAAATGAATCTATACTGTTTATGATAATTTTACAATATTTGATGGGCATATCATGCTGTGGTGGGGCACTTTATTTAATGAATGAAACTAAGGTGCAGCCTAATAAAACATCAATACTAATAATTAAAGTGTTTTTTATTACATTGAAAAAATAGTTTGCAACTATCTGCCATCTTTGTGAGACATGACACTCTGCAAATTGTAAACCTTTATATCAAACTCATTTCAAAAATAAAAGGCTGGTTTTAGTAACTATGTATTTTGACAGACATAAATTACAATTAAGAGACTTAGACAACAGAGATCTTTATTTCTTTCTGCCCAATTCCTCTGAGATATAGATAAGACCTGCTTGATCAGAGATGCCCTAACAGCTTCCCACACTGAACTCATTAATTAATCTTTAACTGGATGCATGTCCACTCATTACCCCCAAGGGACAAATGGATTTACACTATCTGCTGTGTAATGTAAAAACTGTTTTTAATACTTTGTGGTTTTTTTTAGTTCTATTAAATGAGTAGTTTTAAGCTGTAGTTCACATTTTTGTACAGATGTTCTAGATTCTATGTCTCATACCTTAGACATGAACCCGAAATGACTAAGTCAATAAATGAAATTAAAAAAAACACCTGTAAAATGCAGAAAAATTATCAAATAATGTTGAAAATACCAGGTGCACATCTTCACATGGTAAATAATAAGTGTACAAATTTTCATACAAATCTATGCAATAGTCTCTGGGAACAGATCCAGACAAAACCACATAATAAAAATGAAAAAAACACCTGTAAAATGCAAAATAATTATCCAATCATAATGAAAATACCAGGTGCACACCTTCATATGGTGAATAATAAGTGTACAAATTTTCAGACAAATCCTTCCAACCGTTTCCAAGAAATGGTCCGGACAAAATCTCGTCTACAGACAGACGGACATGCTGATTCCAATATACCCCCCCTAAACTTCGTTTGCGGGGGGTATAAAAAACATATTTTTAAAAATGTGACATTTTGTAGCAAATGACTGACAGTTGGCTGTTGATATTGAGTAAATCAGTAAAAACCTGAATAAAATATTTTTATTTGCTCCATGTATTTCCTACATGAATTAACCTTACAACATCTCCTTTCTCAAGATAATACAGGATTGGAATTAAGTACATGAATACTACAGGGTTACAAGAATAAACACAAAGAAAATCAGCAATTTAGAATCTCACAGCACGGGAACCAAGTATGATTGGAACAAATTTGGTTTAAGATTCCATCAATACACAATGTGAATAATTTTGCTACGTATTACATAATATATAGTGCATTTTTATATTACACAGTTTCATGAAAATCTTACAGTGTAGGATTTCACAATTCACAATCCAGAAACTGTTTTAACAACCTGTTCACTTAATCCTACTTCACTGCTGATTTTGTTGGGTAAAACTAAAGTACAGAGTAACAACAAACTGATTATAACTAAAGGAGAAAAGGCAAACAATGTCAAAGCTATTGGAATGTTCATAGTATATCGGAACTTAATGATATGTTCTGAGAGTTTGGATACAAATAATTATCAATAATAGACATTTTAAAAATATTTCATACCAGGTTAATGGCATTTCAATGAAATCACTGTAGCACCAAAAACACATTATTCATATTAATCACACCAAACCAAAATGTTAATTATCTATATGTATTTCTTTATAAAATCCTATATGAATTGTATTGAATATTCTTTGTGTTAGTTTTTGCAAATTTATAGTGTTAGTTTCTGCTCTGCAGAAATAAAACTTCATACATGATAACAACCTCAGTGTATGAAACTCTCAAATACTGTGAGACACGCAAAAACATAATTTCTTATAACAACATGGTGCATGATAATTAATAAATATTTGTTGTTTTTTTTAATGATTTCCACACTTAAAAAAATAATTTCTTTCACAAAGTAATCATATATAGTTTAGAGATACTTGCTTTGAAATGTTTTGAACTTTTTCTCTTAATTTCTTTAATATAATCTATATCATTATTTATTAATCTTAATATAAATGCATTCAAAAATGTCATTTCCTTTGTTTCACAACAAACTTTATTTTGGAGATAGTGGACAATGAAATAGAGAAGAGTTTCTGCCATTTTTTCCCATATGAACTAGCAGCATTCTTGTCGGACAGTTCTAAGAATCAAGTTGGTTTGGTAGATCAGGTAGTTCGCACTGATAAAGACACTCTGGTTCCTAAAACAAAAATGTATCGATTCTTAGACAGTTCAATCATACAATACATATGAATCCATAACAAGAGAAAGACTGCTTGCTTTTGTGCTTCACACACTGTATTTTGTAATTTACAAAAATTATAATAATTTACTGAATTTCTAGTAAAAAACTTTTTATACTGATACCTAATAATAAAATTATGTGGAAGAGAAATATGACTTACTGGTTTGTGTCTCGGAAAAATTCTTTCAACATGTTGCTGAATTTTTTGGAATAGCGAACAAATTCTTTTTTTCTGTCCTCAAGAATCTGAAACAAAGATAAAAATGACTCTGATAATGATTAACTTGGAAATGATAATAGACTTAATTCTCTGAAGAAAGGATAATAATGGGTGAAAAGTGTTTAGCTAAGCCTATTTTAAAACACTGGTAAATGTATTTAACAACAGGTTCAAGGTAACATTTTAAAATCAATACACTTTTATACATACTGTAAAAGTGATTATATTGAGGGGTGGAAAGTTTTGACAATTTTGAATTTATTTTAAAATATAGTGGGTGGAAACTTTAATGATCTACTAATATTTAACAGCACTCTTAAACAGGAATGTGAAAGTTGATGAGTGGAAACTTTCATGATTTTTAGAAATTACTTTCAATTTTATCGATGTTTCCACATCGTCAAAGATTCCACTTTCACACTTGTAAAGATATAGGTATATGAAGAGTGTTTTACTCATCTGATATATGCATTATCAGCCAGGCCCCCTTTTTATTATAAGTTGTTTTTCAAGACTTACTTCCAATAAGTCGTGCTGGTCGGTTGGTGAAACAAGAGGCCCATGGGCCACATCGCTCACCTTAGTAACTTTGGCCATGCTGTTCATTACCAGACTTCCCCCTTGTAATACCTATTGTGGCCCCGCCCTACCCCGGGGGCCATGATTTGAACAATTTAGAATCTACACTATCCCACGATGCTTCCACATAAGTTTCAGTTTTTCTGGTCCAGTGGTTCTTGAGAAGATTTTTAAAGATTTTTCCTAAATATTTCGATGTTTCCCTATTGTGACCCCGCCCTACCCCCGGGGTCATGATTTGAACAATTTAGAATCTACACTATCCCAGGATGCTTCCACATAAGTTTCAGCTTTTCTGGCTTAGTGGTTCTTGAGAAGAAGATTTTTAAAGATTTTTCCTATATATTTCAATGTAAAACTTGGATTCCCTATTGTGGCCCCGCCCTACCCCCGGGGGTCATGATTTTAACAATTTAGAATCTAAACTATCCCAGGATGCTTCCACATAAGTTTCAGCTTTTCTGGCTTAGTGGTTCTTGAGAAGAAGATTTTTAAAGATTTTTCCTATATATTTCAATGTAAAACTTGGATTCCCTATTGTGGCCCCGCCCTACCCCCGGGGGTCATGATTTGAACAATTTATAATCTAAACTACCACAGGATGCTTCCACATAAGTTTCAGCTTTTCTGGCTCAGTGGTTCTTGAGAAGAAGATTTTTAAAGATTTTTCCTATATATTTCAATGTAAAACTTGGATTCCCTATTGTGGCCCTGCCCTACCCCTGGGGGTCATGATTTTAACAATTTAGAATCTACACTATCCCAGGATGCTTCCACATAAGTTTCAGCTTTTCTGGCTCAGTGGTTCTTGAGAAGAAGATTTTTAAAGATTTTTCCTATATATTTCAATGTAAAACTTGGATTCCCTATTGTGGCCCCGCCCTACCCCTGGGGGTCATGATTTTAACAATTTAGAATCTACACTATCCCAGGATGCTTCCACATAAGTTTCAGCTTTTCTGGCTTAGTGGTTCTTGAGAAGAAGATTTTTAAAGATTTTTCCTACATATTTCAATGTAAAACTTGGATTCCCTATTGTGGCCCCGCCCTACCCCCGGGGGTCATGATTTTAACAATTTAGAATCTACACTATCCCAGGATGCTTCCACATAAGTTTCAGCTTTTCTGGCTTAGTGGTTCTTGAGAAGAAGATTTTTAAAGATTTTTCCTATATATTTCAATGTAAAACTTGGATTCCCTATTGTGGCCCCGCCCTACCCCCGGGGGTCATGATTTTAACAATTTAGAATCTACACTATCCCAGGATGCTTCCACATAAGTTTCAGCTTTTCTGGCCCAGTGGTTCTTGAGAAGAAGATTTTTTAATGACCCCACCCTATTTTTGTCTTTTCTTGATTATCTCCCCTTGTAAGGAGACTTGGTCCTTTATTTTAACAATTTAAACTCCCCTTCACCCAAGGGTACTTTGTACCAAGTTTGGTTAAATTTGGCCCAGTGGTTCTTGAGAAGAAGTTGAAAATGTGAAAAGTTTATAGACGGACGGACGGACAGACGGACGGACGACGGACAACGGACAACGGGTGATCAGAAAAGCTCACTTGAGCTTTCAGCTCAGGTGAGCTAAAAAATTGAAGAAGACCTTGAAAATGTCAGAATTTATAATCCCCCCCCAGTGAAAGGTCTTAAAAGCTACCATATAAATTAAATTGTTGCATTATTAGACAGACTAGTCATGTACTTAAAAAGTTTATCAAAGAAGTGTATTACAAAATTTGATATTGATTTAACACGTGTCCTGTGCAATGGAACATATCTAATCATATTGGTATTCTACTATGTACTATACGTGAAATTCAGAACCAAGCAGCATTGTGTATAGGAGCATTTACAGAGAATCCATGTTTTCTAGGGTTAAAAATTGAGAGGCGAGCCGAGGGCACTATTTTTGTCCCGAGGAGGCTAACATAATCAATATTACCTGAAAACACAGTCAATAATTGTTATATGAAAAACAAAACAAATTAATAAAACAGTATTTTGATTTCATTCATTGAAATTCAGCAATTCAATCACGTTGATTGTAGCACTAGCGAATCTTCATGTTGCCATGATTGTGTTACTTGCATGGTTTTTTTATTGTGACTTTATGTTTTTTGGAAGTCGCGATGGTATCATTACGTCACAATAACTCAGTCTACTAATGAGATTCAAAATCAATAATATTGTGGGAAAACTCTCTTTGCCAGTCGATAGTATAAATTAAATGACCGCAATATTTTTCAGAGGAGCTAATATCAATTATGTTGACTGTTTCTCTATATAGAGAATCTAGAGACTTTTCTTTACAGAATATAACAAAATATGGTAAAAGTTGTTCAGTGACATTTGAGTATTATTTATAGATTGTGTATCCAATACAGATTTCAAATCTTTGAGCCACATGTACATGTATGCAAAGAAATCTATTAAACCACATTATACATGTACATTGTACATTGTACTTATAATTAATAGAGCAAATTCAATGAAAAAAAACCCATACTTTTTTACACAATCCAATTCTAATTATTAAGATAAACTTGTATAGTAATCTGATCCAGCAGAAAAACTTTCCTGGCAATAATAGGCAGACATGTAAAGAGAATTATCTTGTAGAATATCAGAGAAAAGTCAATAGCTTACTGCTTTATAGAGAGAATAGGGCTCATTTAACATGCAGAGTACATGTATTCAAAACAATGTAAAGCACAGTGTTTTCCCCTTTATTTCAAAGTAAAGGGTTAGAGATCAATTACAACAGGCTTTGGGTTGAGGTTTATGACAAATCTCTGCAGATCTTACAACTATTTATTTTCTTATTTCAAAGCGGCATTTTTATCAATTGAAGCGGTCAATTTAGCCGTGAGTCGATTCTTAGGGAAAACACTGAAAGCATTAAAAGCAGTTTATAATACAATTAGTATACACTGTACCGACAAATGCATGTATCACAGCAAAAGTTACAAATTGTAATGTATATTTGATTTGATTGATGTAAAATATTTAAGATTTAATCCAATTTACTGTTACAAATACTCCAGTAAAATTAATTGTGATTCAAAAGTCCTGGACCATAGCAAACAATTTGAACCCATAAAAGAAAGATGGCAAACACAAGGCATCCCTTTCCATTTGATATCTTTTCCATTTCATGCACATTTGAAATGCTTCCCAAAACCAAATACAAGAGTTACATATATATTGTTTTGTTCATGTTAAAGTGTGGATAGTGTATCATGTTTTACTCAGGTTGACAACAAGCCTTTTCAAAATAACTATGTTTACCATCTGACTTACCCTTTAAAATATTTAAGTTAATTTGTAAAGTTAATTGTGTCTATCTTGTGAAAATGGAGGACTGACACAGGACATCTGATAAATTATTATTAAGGGGATTCTTATCTGTCTTATTATCCAGAATATTGTAGATATTTTCTCATAATCAACAGAATACTGTAGATATTCTAGATATGTTTGTACACATAAACATCATGTTGACCCTCTACAATATACGAGTAATTTCACATTTTATGTACAACATTTTGCTTGGGCCAATTCACACACAGTTCAGTAATAGTTTTCCTTTGTTAGGATTTACATGTTTTTTACATAAAAGAAATAATCAAGCAGCATACAGATCTGAACACATGAAGATATAAATAAAAAGTGCTTAGTCTGACAGAGGGAGGTGCATCGGATAATGGAAGAGCAACTTACCAGAAGTTTCTGTACAACAACCAAGTCAGTGGGGGGTAAGTTTAATGTAAACAACAGCTGTATTTTATCATTGTTAATCAAGCAAGATCAAATTAAAATAAGTAAATAGAGATGGTGCATTAAATAAATACATCAATCATAACTAAGACAAAAAGTACTGTGGAGTAATTTTTAAAAAGATGCCATTCAAATGTTAGCAATAAGTATAAGTACTGAATAAAACACCAATCTCACACAGTAATGATTAGCCTCGGTTAATCACTGACCTGTTTACTGCCATTGTCTGCAGCAGGGACTTCTGCTATCACTCGGTTTACAGCGTCCAGTAGGCGCTTTATAGCACTGGCTATTTCTCTAAAAAAAAATTTAAAAATTATGTTTTAGTTATTAACCTTAAAAACGTTCTTCAAGATTTTAAAGAAAAAGGTTATATACATGTACATGCACGAAACATTCTTCAATTACTTTATGTGATCTCACGAATGAAATATTTTAAATAAATGATAAAAAGAGTACTACAAACTAAAATTCATATCATATGTCATATCAACCCTTGGGCTGATATGAGGTCACTTGGGCGATACGACATGGATTGTAGTACATGTACATGTATGTAATATTGTCTATTTAATACACCAAAAATTTCTCACATTCTTAAATATCAAGGAAAAATTTTAGTTAACGAAAGTACAAGCATGTTATTGTATGTCAACTTAACATGCCATAAATTCATAGTTTTTAAAATTGTCAAGTAATAGAAGTTTTCCATCACGCTTTATAATATATATTGGTCAGAAACACTCTCATAACATGTGAGATATGGAATTTTATCAAAACTTTTGATGGATACAAACTTTTAAATTATGTCCATGCCCCATTAAACTTATTGAACATTTAAAGTTGCTCTGTAAGTTGTCATTATATTTACTTGATTGTCTCTAGAAACTGTTTCCTGTCATAAATCTGCTCTGGAATTCTACTGAGGATTTTTTTTAAAGCCATGGCGCACTTGTTAAGTTCTTGGAATGTGGGCTCTTGTCTGGAAATGCGTAATTCTGAAAAATAAATGACACAATTACAGGATTATTGTACCACAGGAATTATATAACACAATGAATCATGTAGAGTATTGTAACAAGTTGGTCTGACCAGTTGTAACTTGTTACAATCTTTTGGGGTCTCCAGTCCAGGTGAAAACACCATTTGGACACAGTTAGTAAGGATATTATACTGGGACATGTGGGACAAGATCAATCAAGTTCTTTTTTTTTTACTCTGTATTGTATCTCTATAAACTATCTCACTATTTCCAATCGATGAAAAAACTTATACATTAATATTAAATATATTCTGTGCCTAGTTAAAGTTTAAAATAGATGTAAAGAACCTAACTGAAAAACCTGAAACCAAAACAAAAATTTATTGAACCGACCAGACCTGGAAAACTTGAGAACCCTAACAGCCGTAGTGTTTGTGCTCTCTAATAACCCACCTTCACAATCCTGGGATCCACCCAGTCTTAATAAAGTCTCACAAAGATCAAACTTGTCATGAATTTCTGCCTTTTTTAGGACTCCCTTCACATAATCATACGCAAATCCAGGTAGTGTGTTGTCAACCTGAAAAGGTAAACAGATTTGTATCATATACTAAGTATCCTTACCAGTAGATATTGTATATGCCACTATAGCTGTAAAATCAAACAGAAACATTATTTCTCCCTCTATGAATTATCTTTCTACTATTTATAAAGAAATAAATATTGGTGACTGAAAATTTTGATATTTCAGGATATAAATAATGTATTAAAATAAATTAATATTTACATACTTTTGATCCTTAAGTAAACATGTATTAAAATAAAGTTTACATACTTTTGTAAAAGCTGCTCTTAGTGTCTGTGCTGCAGAAACATCTTTCTTTTCAAGCTATATGTAAAGTATTTTGACAAAAAGTACTTAAACAAATAAGTATTTTTGTATTAAAAGTATCTAAGAAAATCAATGATAAAAAAATCTGTTATAAAACATTCCTCACTTAATCATAATATTTGTACAATACTAGTAAAAACCCTTACCCTCTCCAGTACTGGACCTAGGACAACATCCACAATCATTTTGGCATAAAGGTTTTTATTACTATCCCCCATTGTCATGGTTTGTAGATCTCCAGCTGAATCAAGATACCAAGAGTCCTAATGTCACATCTGGGGATATATAAACTGTAAAACAAAAAACATATTTTATGGAAAAGGTATAAATATAATGAGCAGTGATCAATATCGCGATCCTAATATTAAAAAATTACAAAATGGACGATTAATAAACATACATAGATTCCCTAAATTTTGGATGAATACAAGATAAAATATATTTGCTCAGGGCAACTTGAAAATAATGTTTGTTTGCCCTCTCCTGACTCAGGATGAAAACTTTGGGTTGGTAGGTAGGTGGAAAAAATTTTTTTCATGGACAATTTTCAAATCAATGCTGAATTTTCAAATTCTTTTTTCCAATTGCATAAATTTTAAAAATAATTGCCTCCTGAAGGTTAAAAAAAAAAATTTGATTTGGGCCATTTTTAGTCAGTCAGTCGGGAGAGGGCAACCACATAATTTTTTTTAAAGATGGCCTCTTTGAACTTTTTTTAAATTTAGAACTTTGTTATGAAGATCATGCCAGCGATTTTGTACACAGGGTTTTGAAGATGACTCAAGACCCATGTAATCTGTTGACTGCACAATCTGAGGATATAAAACATATACATATATACACACATAACACTTCATCCTCACAAAGGCAGGGGTCCTGAGTCCACAAGTGGTCCGGGGACAATATGTGGAATCTCAACCCCTGACATGAGGATGATAACACTCATAAGTCGGTTAAAGAGCTATCATAGCTCATGTTATTATGTTAAACTGTATATACATGCCGACTATAAATAAAATTTACTTGACTTGACTTGTCTCATGCACATCAGATCTAATAAGAACCTTGTCATTAAGCATGCACAAATTGACTTTCAGGCAATTTAATTGTTATAAGCCATAAACCATGATATTGAAACACTACAACATTTAAAACTCAGTTCAACTACCTGAACACTGCTGAAAGTTTATCAGACGTAGTACTCCTCTGGGTACAACAATTCTGTTCTAACTTTTGAATAAAAAAATCAGATTTTTTTTACAAATACAATGATAATTAAATCTAAGTAAAGCAAATCATCATTTCTTCATCTAAATGTGAAAATTTGATGACCACACCTACCAAACTAGATCTACTTCAACTTTCAAGATCAAAGAAAAGCAAGCTCTCCTGTAACATAGTTTGCATGTGTTCAGTTTAACAATACAAGTGGTCAACTTGCATAGCTTAAAATGAAAGGTGACACAGAGATGTGCAAATGTACGAATTCTTCCCAATACGGAACTGAAAACCAAAAATAGGGTTAAATAAAATACCTGTCAACAAATATTAGATCCTCGTTTGTTTTTTCAAACCTCCGATATAAGAGAGTTCCAAAAGTGTTAATTGAATTACGCCCCTTTTCTCAAGCGACCATTTTAGTTCTTGGACTTAAAAAAGTTTGTTCAAAATGACATCAATTCTCATTTTCTAATATAAATAAATATTTAAATAGGTTCCTACTAATGAAAATACGAACCAAAATAATTTTTTTTTTGCATATTTTCAATCAAAATTTCATCCGAATTATGCTTCAACCTTCGTGAACAAAAACTCAGTTCACAAGGCTGGGGGGAGTGCGATTGCTACCCCCTTTTAACAGATTCATTATTCATCTGCTTACAGGCGCGGATCCAGGAAATTTCCCCAAGGGGTCTACCCCAGTCAAAAAATTTCCAACCCAGAAATTTCTTGTCAAGGAAAATAAACAACAACAACAACAAAAACAAAAAACAACAACAACAACAACAACAACAAAACAAAAAACAACGTATAATCTATTTCCCATACGTGAAAAAAAGCCATTTCGTGGTGGTGGTGGTGCATGGTAGGGTCCACATTTTCTAGGAGGGTCCAAAGTCATTTTTTATTTACATCAGTATATATACTTTTGATAAGTCTGCAAATTCTAGGGGAAAGGGGGGGAGGTCCGGACACCCCCTCCCCCCTGCTCTAGATCCGCGCATGGTTTAACTGTTAATCTGATAGATAATGAGTGTTACAGTACAAGAGGGATCTGTTTAAAGTTTGTTAGCTGCTATATCTTTACTTTGTTATATACTTTACTTTGCTGATAAGTAAAATGAAAAAAAAACTTCAAAAATGCATCCGAATCCAATAGGTCATCATTAAGAAAAATCTGGCTCAGAGGAGGGACCAGGATCCCCCCCCCCCCAAAAAAAAAAAACCCTACTCGCACCCTCTAAAAAAAATTAGATACTACATGTAAATATTAAACGGCAAATTTATTAACTCAGTAAAAATATAAGATTCACCACAATTTACAGAACTTCATTTACTTTTTATAAATTATCTATTTCTATTCATTAAAATTCATAGTAATTGTTACAGATGATGTGGATCTGCCCCTGTTTAATATGATCCATTATTTTCCTGCCAGGTTTTTTTTTAAATGTGGCATTTATTTTTATTTAAATCAATTGATCTTGAAAAATAACGATTTTCGGTATCAAATGGTTTCATTGTCCTGTTTTTCTTCTTGAAATGTATATGTATGATTTTAATTAAGATAGTTCATACAATTTAAAGCGAACAGCTGCTTCTTTAAACCTTACCTGTTTTTTTTTCCATTGGCGGATCCAGAGGTGGAGGGGTCCCGGGGTTGGACCCCCTTTACTTTTTGCCAAGTGGAGAGAGAGAGAGAGAGAGAGAGAGAGAGAGAGAGAGAGAGAGAGAGAGAGAGGATAAAACGTTTTTTGGAATTGATTTTTTTTACGTCTAATACATTATGAATATATAAACATGGTTCAAAAAAGCTCGATCGGCCCCAGTCTCAGCTCATATTCCACTTGCTCTAGATAGAGTCTCACATACAGTATTTCCTTTCCTCCATTTACATGGCCGTAGGAACGGGGGGGAGTGCACAGGGGGTGCCCCCCCCCCCCAATAATTTGCCGATATATAGAATACTATAGAACACATATCTACTACATGCTTGTGCCCCCTCAACAATAGAGTCTAATGACTTTTTTTGCTTGTCAAGGAATTTTGGTAGTCGATAGTGCCCCTCAACTAAAAATGTATGGCTGTGCCCCCTCAAAGTGAAATTGCTTCCTATGGGCCCGATTTACCTTCACTATCCCTCCCTGTGAGCATTTTTATTTATGAGTAAATGTAGAAAATATTCTACTTATTTCAATATAACAATATGATGAGTAACATGCAAGTCAGATTCTGGTTCATTACTTTCCCTATACGAATAATGTGGCAGCGATGATATGGAGTTGTATCGTAACGTAATATTGAGCTGTCTGGAGCTTGATTCTGTCTATCTTTGCATGGTTATATATCATTTTCAGACCTTTTTTTTTGAAGGAACTAAATTAAGTCATTAAACTAAAAGGGAGTATGCACAAGGCCACAGTAAATTAATTCTTTGTATTACGTTCCCCTGGCGATATAAAGATATTATTTACCACGACTAGGGTGATTTTCTCTGTGTGTGAATTTATGTTTGAGTGTTTGTGTGTGTGTGTGGGGGGGGGGGGGTGTAAGTAAATACATTTTTAAACTATATTTATTCAGAAAATCTTAATAGATTGGGCAACATGCAAAACCAATAAGTAACCTCCCCAAACAAAAAGTCAAGGCATGCATTCAAAATGAGCTAATTGAAATTCAGAATTAGAAAGACAAATCTAAAATCAGTAAAAATTCTTGCGGCTTTTACTTGAACACTTCTCTCTACAGTATTCTGATAAAAGACAGCATGAGAAAGCAAGGACTGGTGTGCATGACGGATTCAGAATGTAAAAGGGGCCGGTGATTTGTACTTCACTTACTGATAAACAAAGGGCAGCTGTTATATTAAAGTTCTGATATTCAGGGAATAATATTTTAAAAAATTCATAGAGTTCTTTGATGCAATACAACTAACACAAAAGGGGCAGCTACATGTAGCAGGTTATCTTCCTTTATAGTGACTCGTAACTCGTCACATCGCCCTCTCTTGAATAAACACAAAAGTTTCTATAAAAGAGACACCCCCCCCCCCCCTCCAAAGCAGTCAAATAAAGTGGTAAACATGCAACATAAACAAAAATAATGTATTAAAACATTCATTCATATATATACATTTCTATTACAGAATCACTCAGCAAACTGTGATAGCAATTGATATTTTCATATTCATGGATATACGTCTGTTTGTTACATCATCGTTAAAAGTGATCTATATAAAAGTGATCTTTATTAACTTTATATAGACACATTTCATTAGTAATTTATAGGTACGAATAAGATACTATGAACTCTCTCGTTATCTGCCTGACAACATTGTAGAGGTAAATATTTGTTGTAAAATTTGTGGTAAGTTTGTGGTGTCAAGGCAAATGAAGGCATGTCCTGTTGGAAGTTGTCTGATCAGCTGACTCGCCTGATCTTCCAGGGAACCAATAAACACCACATACGCATTCACTTTTTCGTTTTTCTTCAAAATTTCCCCAAATTTTCTAGGAGAAATTCCGTATCTGTCGAAATTGGCGTCGCTAAGGATGATCAGGAAATGTTCGTCTGCTTCTTCCTGTGCTAGTTCGTCTGAAGCATGCCTCGTGGCCATTAACGTTGTATCACCGCTCATGCAGAATTGGGAATGCGCGTGCATGGTTTTCAAAACAATAAGACGCTCTTTGTTATTGGTGGGCACTCTGTCCTTGTCTACCAATACTACTTTATGATCCTCGCCAGAATGCCCATAGATATCATATTTAAACTTGTCTTCGTACTTTTCCAAAGCTTCCATCATCATTAAAGTGGCCTCCATTTCGCGGTTGAGCCGACCGTCATACCCATTAAAGCGGTACATACTACCTGAGACATCCACCAACAAGCGGATCCTCTTCGGTTTCTCCTGAGGTGTTCCTAACTCAGGGTCTTTTTCTCCCCTTCGTTTGTAAATAGATTTCTCGCCTGTAATGCCCTCGATTAGTTTTGAATCATCTAAGTCGCCATATGCTTGATTTTTCAGCCATTGCCTTTCCTTTCCCTTAGCCTGAAGACTATCTAGAATAACCCGCAGTGACGAGACCTGATTTCTAACGTTCTTAGAGAATCCATCATACACATCAGCGTCGTATTCACTCATGTTTATTTCTCGAAGCCTCTCTTTGAATGCTTTTCGCGCCATATCCCGCGCAGCTTCTCTCACGTGATTAGGCACTGAGTCCTTTTCATGCTGAGGAACTTGGTAAACTTTGTGACCGGCGTCCAATCGATATGGTCCACCAAATCCACCTAGACCTGTTAATGAGAAACAACTGTGTGTAACATTTAGCAATCCTAAATATTAAAATCCATACGTTATACTTTTTAAACTTAATTACCTGCCGTGTTGCTACCGCCAGTACCACCCGCCCAAGTGTTTCCACCATGATGAGGAGCATTTTTTGGGTCAATTTTCCCGTGTTTGGGACCGTCTGCTTTCCGACCACTTTCTCGTCCTTTGGTTATCTAAGAAATGAAATTATCATATAATATCGCATACCAAAAATTTTCAGAAAAACTAAATGATATTCAGTAATAAGTAAATTATTATAATACCTGAAGCTGTTTTCCATCATCAAAACCCATCATGTTCTTCCATTCCCTTAACGACCGCTCCAGATTTACAAGAGCCGTCTCCCACGTTCGGATGCATCCACCAACATCCACTGTTACCAAGCCGTCTTCGCTCATGGGCGCAACAAATAAGCTCGAGTCAGCAATCGACGACATCCAGGAGAGGTAGGGCGACTGGCGGGTGGCAGGGGGGACTGGAATATAACGTAGGATGTGGTTTACTGGGTCTATCACCTCCAGATACCCGCTCACATCTCGAGATCTCTCCGAGCGTGACAGGGCAGACTCGGGAACTTTCCATGTAGGCATACCTTCCACTACTTGACCAGATTCCGGAAGACAAACAATATGAGAACGTTTAGTTGGATTAACTTCTGGCTTAGCAGAAGATGACCCGAAAAGACCAAAAGCAGGTGTGCTAATAATTTCTTTTGCTTGTGATTTAGATTCTGGTAATGGTTCTCTTGGAGAACTATAAACATCAACAGCTGTCGAGTCTGGAAATCCCTGCATAATAGACACGTAAGAATCACGTAACACAGACGTTCTGTTTGGCCCCACGTTATCGTTCTTTAGAGCAAGCTTTAAATGTGCGTCATTGAGTGGAACAGACGACAGTTCTCGAACCACTGCACTATCACCACTTTCACTAATAGGATACAGAGAGAATGAGTTATCTTCTGCCATTTTGACCAAAAATTTCTCGTCTTTATCACTGCTTAGTAACCACTGATCTGCGCCTGCTTGATGTGCCCTGCTGATTACTAGTGGGACGTCCACAGAATGAGCATATTTTCCCGTTACAGCCACAATATTATCTCCACCCTCTTTGTAAAACAAGATCGTTCCTTTTGCATCTGGGAGGGTGCTGGGGCACATCCGGTAAGGGTTAGGCGTCTGCGCAGTAGAGGGAAATCGCCTTTTTTCGATAGGCATCTCTGGAAGAGCATGTGACGATAGCCTACACACTTCACCCGTATTAAAGTTTACAACGAGGATAGAGTTAGTGACTTCTTCGTGAAGAAACACATTGGAATCGAGAGGTTCCGCCAGAGGGGCAATTCTGACTCGTGGACGGTAGGATCCTGTTGTTGATGGGAACATGTCGTAGAGATCAATAACGGAGCAAGTTGACAACTTTGGATTCACTGAAAATAATCCAATAGGGTTAGCTGTTACAATATGAACGATGTCAAATTTCCCTGTCGTTTGATTGGTGGCCTTAGTAACTGACACATCACTGATTACATTGGTCTCATGCATGGGGATTGTCCAGTACGATTCCTGCTCGGTAAAGAGCGATGCGCGCGCAGTATTTTTGTCCAAAGCAAGAGACTGTGGAAAAACTTCTACCGGGCCTTTAATGGTAATTTCGCTCGTCTCAACAGGCAAACTCATCATCGCTGTCCGCCGTTTTGCTTCTGGTCTTTGAATTGTCCAGGTTCCCACCTTAGTAAATGGAGGAAGGGGAAATTCTTTGGCAAGATTGACCTCTGCTCGGGATATTCCATATGGTACACCATGTTTATGCATGGTTTTAATTATCGTTTCTTGCAATTCCTTACTATATGCGTCAAAGTCAAAAACGTTTTTAACGACTGTTCTGAGGCCATCATTCGGGTATTTCTCCATGTGTCTTACAATGTTGACAACCTCTCTGGTTGAATAGGGGTACGAAATCAAGCCTTGATCAGCCATATTTCGGAGTTCTCCAAAAGCATTAACCAATTTCTCCAACGTGTCCTTGGATACATTAGGGCCATACTGTTGCAGCATAGACATTTCTGATTCCATATCAGGATTCAGAATTGCGTGACAACTAAAGATGTCTCCCATAGCTCCGAAGAAATCATTTCCAAGAAAAGGGAACCCAGGTCTGTTTGCTAGGACAATCATCCGAAAATTTGGATGGCCTACGATTGTGTTGTCTAATGAAACATGTCCAGATTTATGCGATACAATTCTTCTCCCGTCTGCTAAATGCATTTCACCGGACTCTATGAGGGTCTTCAGTATGCAGGTAACATGAGTAGGTGCTTTATCTGCCTCGTCTACTACGAGTACATGACCCATTTTGACTGCCCGCACAAGAGGCGAATCCTCAAACACAATAACGCCGTCCTTTACGGTTGGTTGTAAGGTCAAAGTTTGGACCGTTGTATCTCGGTGAAGCTGGATATACTCACGTGGTCTGTTCATTAAGTGAAGGAAACGATCAACTATCTTATTCTTCCCCACACCCTGATTACCCACTAACAACAGGTGCTCGCCCAGTACAAAATCCTTTAACATGTCCTCCATGACAGCTAAATGCTGGGGATTTTCATAGAAGAGCACATCGGGGACTTTGGTTTTATTTTCGGGATTAAACACTGAAACTGAGGTTTCTCCTATCGTTAATGTCCCATCCTTCACTGAACACGTGATGAGACGATCTGGGTTGTTGTTTGTGTCCACTTCCGGTTTTGGCATCGCCTTGATGTCGGCAGCTTCCATGGTCTGTTCTAGGCTATCGCGAGGTAATCTAGGAAGAAAACTTGACATACAAGCTTTCTGAATTATGCCGTGTAGATCTTTGGATGGAAAATTAGCTAAACGTCTGGCGATTCTTATCAACTGACGTGTAGACAGCGAAGCAGAAATCGACACTAAAGATGGGTCAGTAGATTTTCGAAGATGGTGCACAAAATTCAAAAGTTTACCCAAATCAGGACACTTTGGGACGACTTTTGTTACAACATCCTTTTCTTCCGTTAAGGACAATGGTCTCAAATGATGAAAGAGGAACATGGTCAACATTTCCGGTGTCATCCATTGCTGAGAAGCACTTCCAGGAACAGGAGGTTCAGATAAAGCAACTATTCGGAAGGAGGGGTGAATAGGGAAAACCTGGCGATCTTTCATATCCTGGTCAGTTAACCCATTGTCTATTTTTATTTGTTCATAGCGATCGTTTCGTAACAGTCGTGTTCCATCAAATAGCTGGAGCTCTCTATCATGAATGAGTCGGTGGAGAACTGCAAACGATCCTTGGTTTATACGATGAAGACCGTCCAGTACCGCCAGACGACCGTTTAAAGCCGCCTCTACCAGCGGAGACATTATCCAAGTGGTGTCACCATTTGGTTCTGTGATTCGTTTCTGAAGAAGATCTCGTGACGTCATATCCTGATACAACATAATGGGTTCCAATTCGTATCCCAAAAGCTGAGCAAACCTTTCTACCAAAATACTTTTTCCACAACCACGTGACCCAATGATACAGAAATCCTGAGCAGCATGCGCTTGAATCAACTCAACCAGAACGGAGTTATGATATGGAGTAGGAATGAATGATTCACTATTTCCATTAGTTTCCAAACGTCCTCTTATAACATCAATACTTTGTGACGTATTAGTTCCTATAGATACTAGATTATCATTCTTGTTTTCAACAGATGTAATTTGACCTTTATTAACATACTTATCATTGTGTTTCAAACTGAATTTTGTAAAGAGATTTTTCACTGAGGCTATCCCTTCCTTGTTTAGAATGACCGTAAATGGATAGAGTTTGTCTATTACTTCTGTCACATCTAAGTTTGGGTTTGTCTTTAACATTTTCACTGCACCTGATACGCTCGAGAGAGGAAAATCCGGCAAGCCCAGAGCTGACGATTCCTGGGAATTTACGGCAGCCCCAAACGACAGAATTTGTGAGATTTTTTCTGTTGCGATTCCTGAAAACTCCTCTTGAAGACATTCCAGTTGCTCTTTAAAAGGCAAAGCATTTATGTCGCGAGCCTGAAACCTGGATCGCAATGGAGGATCAAGTGCATTTCCACGATATCGTGGAACAGGGTGACCAAGGGCAATAACTCTGAAATTTTCATCAACTCGGACTAACTTTAATGTATCTAACTCCTCTTTCGAATGATCAGTCAACAATTTATCATATCTTTCGGCAGACATTAAAAACCTTCCATCATCTAACTGCATTTCTCGATTTTCCAAAAGATTATTTAATATAGGTAAAACATTTCTTTCAGCTTTTTCTATGCCCTCCAGCACCAGTACTCTCCCTTGAATGGCTGCTTTTACAGCAGGCTGATCGTGGTAGTAAGCGGTACCGGACACGATCTCACGTCGCTGCTTGATGTCGGTTTCTGTTGTGTCACGTGACAGAGAGACGTACTCCACTTCCCGTCTGGTCAGTTCCAGATACATCATGGCCACTTGTCTCCTCAAAGGACCAGGTCCGCCTGTTAGGATATTCAAAAGTAAAAAAATTAAAAAAGTTAATTAAAAAAAAAACTCTAAACTTAATTTTATGAACATTGAATTCCTTTACCACTTTTAGGGGGAGGGGGGGGGGGGGGGGGGAATGATTCCAATATTATTAATGAAATTAGGTTGTTTTTTTTTTTAAATTAAAATTCTCATTTCTGAAAAATTACATGTTAGATTAAATAGATAAAAATTTGATGGGAATTTTAACTTACTTAGATATATTCATGGTATTCAAAATACCAAAGTTCGAAATAATGTTCAACTTTAAATATTAATAAAATGAGCTAAAGAAGAAAAAAAGCTTTACTGTTCTGTTTCTATTTACCAGATAAATAGATAAAATTATCAAATCAATAACTTGATAATTGATAACATAGTGGCTGAGCCTGTATAGAACTAAGTAAATAGAGACAATTTCACCTACATGTCCTAGGAAAGACACCTACCAATCAGAAATACGTCCTGTTTAAGGCCATCCTTCTGCATGATCCATTTTAGGTGGTGCAAGACTGACTGTGGTGGCTTCTCTTGTAGATGCCGCACGGGTACCACCTCCACATTTCTTGGCTGTCTGGTTGCTATGGATATATCTCCTATAGATACCCGCTCTGTGCCACCTTCAGTCTGACTGGAACACCGCCGAATGGTGAGGAGACCATCTTTCTTCTGTGGACCATCTCTCAAAATATTCCTTAGGACCTGTAAAGGAAAATTTAAATATCTAAAACTAAGAACATTATGACCATTTTACCTTCTCAAGCATCTTTACTTACAATTTCTTAATCTATCAAATTTGCTCAGAAATAAGCAGATCACTTTTTTGTGTTACATAATGCCTAAAATTTACAAAATTTCTACTGGAGTCAAAAGTTTTTTTTTAGAGTATAACATGTACATGCATATACTACTAGTACATAGATATTAACTATGTCTCTTACCCTGATCAACATCAGAGTTAAGTACATGTATATATGAGGATTGTCCAAGAAAAACGCAACCTTTTTAAACATTTCATTTACTACCTGACCAAAAAATTATTCATTTAAATTACACATTGTTTGGAAATAATATTTTAATATTTTAGTCATTCTGACAAACATTAAGGGGTTGTATTAAGGCAAGATGTATCGTTCTTGAAGGGGGCAGCTAGATTAAAAAAAAATATTTGACTGATAAAAATTGAAAACCAAGCCAAAAAAAAAGAGAGAACAATTGTCTAAATCTCCAAAATCCTATTTCGAAGGGGGAGGGGGGTCCTTTATTTCACTACCAAAACCTATTAATCCATAACACATTACCTTTACTTAACTTTTAACTATTGCCTATACCGCAATAAAAAGTGGGGAAGGGGCAGGACATAATTATGTTTGAAAAAAGGGGGACAGCCCCTCCCCCTCTGATACCACGTGCCTGATAATGTCATTGGAAACGGTATCTAATGTGTGTTAAATATAGGAGATCGCGGCACACCGCATTAAATTGAAATATAATGTGACAAATTTAACATCGATAAAACGTATCGGTAAACCAATTTCTCATTCAGCAGTTGTGTTGACTCCTGTTAGTACAGGAAAATAGATCGATCACAAACGCATCTTTGTCACTGGTTTATAACGTGGCCCTACAAAAGAGGTTCAACAATGAATTGTCTGGTTATCTGATTCAGGGGGTGCTATGTAGACCAACAAAATTGACGATAAACTGAAAGTTCAGAAGCTGGGCGTCATACGTAGAGACCGTCGTGAAGTTGTATCCTGATCAGGTTTGGAAATTGTCTCTTCAAAGAATTTTGCAATTCTTCGATGACTGTCGTATGTGCAAGATGGGTATCGTGATAACAATTCTAAAGAAAAGACACAAGATTCCCGAATAATTTTACACACGCCACGAACTACGTTTTGACGTCGTAAGTGTGGCGCCGACAGCTACATGTATTATGTTAGATCCATTTAACTTATAGAAAAAAGTTATTTATTGAAATATTTTAATAAAATTTCCATGTAGTATTTTAACAGCATATGGTGCATGTCAATTTTTATCCTTATATTATTAATGAAACAAAAAATATTGGAAATGTTCGCGTTTTCCAGGGACAACCATTAGTATCTTAACCTACAGTGTATATAGTTTTTATCGCCATTTTCAGCAATTGTGCTAATTCTAATTCGATTTCCCGGTGTTCTAAGTTCTTAATTATACTGAAATGACACTCTGTGAATAGATTTTATGTTATTTCTGTAGTTCTAGTGAAAAATTAATTAAATGATATATAAAATACCTATATTTGTAATCTGTGTAATATCTGTGCTAAATACAGTAGGAAAAAAAATTTATGTTATACTGTTGCACCCTAAAAAAAAAAAAGCAAAAAATTGATTTAGTTGTCAAAAAAATATAAGAATTAATGTATCATCATGGTATTGAATTCAAGTTATTGCGTAGATCCTTCACCATATGCTTTTTACCAGATTAAAATGTGTCCAATAATATAAGAATTGGACTGGATTATGAAATCTATGTCTATACAGAATAATTCATAAATTGGTGAATTTAATAAAATCAGTCAATTCATTTAAATGTATCTTTGCCCTATCTTACAAAGATTTACTGTTAAAATATAATTTTTTGATATTTCAAATTTTGTGGCCACTACAATAAATGACGTTTTGACATATCATTAACATACACATCAAGTAATTTTAGGACTGAAGATGATTGTCAATATATACTGTCATGTAAATTACTACATGTACTGTACTGTAGATGCCTGACCTTGTTCATGCTGGGATGCTTCAGCTGTCTGAAGACTGAAGAAATTTTGTTCTATTTTTAAATTTTATTTTTCTAAAATTAGATGTAGTAGTGCCCATTACTGGCATTACACAATATAAATTTTTTTCACTGTATTATACAAAATTAAAATTAATACTACAAGAATTATATCTGAACTTTATTTGCATAACAAGGAAAAAATATTATTAGCAAAGTAAAATATATTATCATTACTATAAAAATAACTTGTTAATAAAAAGAAACCAACTGTTATTTTAACAATTGTTAATATTACAATAATGGTTCTGTAAAATCACTTCTTTGCACAGGGTCAGATTTTTGTGGTTTGAGAAAAAATTACTGGTTCAAGGGAATTTCATTTTGTGGTTAAAGGAGAAACACTATACTATAGTGTGTAGTTTTCACATTTTGTGGGAGTCTCTTCATAGTATGAAGTCTAAATACTTCTAATTCACAATAAAATATTAAATAATTTTTGCAACAAGTCAATAAATATGGAGGTTCAGAAAGGAATAATTAATTCCTTTACATATTTTATTGTAGGAACCATGTCTCCACTTTCCATGGTAGAGAATCCCTCATTTGGGCATTTAGTGAGAATGTTAGGTCTAAAATTACACCAAAATAAAACCTTAAAAGAATCTGCCCTGAAACTGCAGGAACACATTCAAACTTCAGTGGATATCATCAGCATTAATACTATTTAACATTTAAATATTGCCTTGATATTTGAGGGGATAAAAACTTGGAGGTAATCAATTATTAATCGATTACATCTTCCAAAGTCATCGATCACAATCGATTACAGGATAAAATGAGTGTAATCGATTACACAAAATTCCTCTAAGTAATTGATTATTAATCAATTACATTTTTCAGTAATCGTGCCCATGCCTGCTTCATACCATGACATAGGCGTCGGAAGCAAATTGAAAGGGGGGGGGGGCTAAACAAAAAAAAAGGTTTAGGGACTAAGCTGTAATCTAAGCCCCTCCCTACTTGAAACACATTAAAAAACATTTTAACGTTATTTTCCAGAAGAATTATCATGTATAACTGATAAATAAATATCTTAAAGAATAAAATCAATCACTTGTAAGCCTTAATTAACGATGCAAATTTTCTGCTTCAAATCAATGAATCAATCAATCATGTGAAATATCAGTCTTTAAGCTGTTAAGAATACAAATGTAAATTCAGAACACATTCTGATATTTAACAATCAGTGTATTGAATGCTAAAATGGAGCATATCAAAACATCAAGTTTCAAAGGGAACATGATAGGTTTTACCCTAACAATGATGTCAATCAAATGGAAGATTTTTGTGTATTCTGTGGCAAATTGTGTAACTTTCATAAAGTTCGAAATGCCTCTGATGTTATTTTTAATGTTGCAACAAAATAATACATTTTTAGAACCTCACCTGTAAGCGGGAATTGGAGCGATTGACGCTCATTTGTCTGAGCCAGGACATAGATCTGGATAATCCTATTTTATATCATTCTGAAGTCATAAACTGGGACGACAAATGTATACACTAATACAGGTTCAAAGTCCTTCGACTGTCATGGACGCAGACATGTTGGAATTGTTGAATGGAGTATCCCGAACCCGAAAATTAATCAAATATAAAAAGTACCACTGGACAGTTTCGTACATTAAAAGGAAATATGTTAAAGGATGACTACTTTTAAATTATGGTAGTATATTTTTGCAAAATATGCATGCTAATTTGCTACAGATCACATGTTTGTTAAAATGCAATTTCATTATGTAAACATATGCATCATATCTAATCAACATGCAAGGCTGAGACACTTATGTAAACATGATGCAACATTTAACTGTGGCATCTAGAACTTGAAAGATGCAACTTGTTTACGGCATACTAATATACAAGGTAATTTTCTCGATTTCACTCTTATGGTGGCATATTCCTGCCCTCTCAGGCTCTATATGCGAGTGATTTTTCTAAAGATTCTGTCGACATGCAAGATAAAAAATGTCAACATGGAGGATTAACATTTCAACTGACATGCAACATAATTATGTTAACATGAAAGAATATTTAATGTGATCTAATGTCATACATCTTTGTGAGTTAATTCGAAATACAACTTATTGATGTCAACACGCAGTTTCTTATTTATTTTAAATGCAGCTTACTTAAAATATCGATTAATCAGCAACTTTTTTTTTATGTCGACATGCAACTTATTACAAAGTCAGCTTAATTACCAGAATGTCTGTTGTTTGTAATGGAAAAGCAAAGTTCTGTACTTAAAAATAAGTGCATGTCAACAAAATTAAGTTTATTGTCGATACAAATAAGTCGCATACATGTCGACATAAATTATTCCTATATTGACATTGACCAAATTTGCATGAATGATTTTCTGAAAATGTTTTCCGAACGTCATAGTTTCCACTGATTATTTTTTGAAAACATACCAAAAAGGTATATACAATATATAGGATCTCCCATGAATAATAGTTGGATATGATTTTTATCCAACGAGTTGTGTGTTTTTTATCCCCGAGCCTTGGCGAGGGGATAAAAACACACAACGAGTTGGATAAAAGTCATATCTAACTACAAATCATGGGAGATTCTTTTTATCCCATGTTTAATACTTCACAACCAATGTTTTACACTGTTTTATATAGGACTCCACTTTATTTTACTTCATCGCGCTAACGCAAAAACCATTGTGACGTCACAACTGTGGATTATGAAAAATTTATCCAATGAGTCATATCCACGGGATAAAGGGGTAAACATGGGATAAAATGAAAATAATAAAAGAAGAAATTGAAAAAAAAATGTATATAAGCGACATTAAAATGTTTGTAGCATCGACAGTCTTGTGCTACTTACTATATGTAGCTGAGCCTTACGCCCACGCCTCAATGGTGGCCGCGGTGGGTAGTTCTGGTGCCAAAAAGGCTAATATAGACACTATTTCGAAGCACCAAACGCCAAGTAGACCACTATTTATGTTATACCAAAGGGGCCCAGCCAAAGCGGCTGGTGCTCAAGAGTAGGATTCGTGCAATATAGCTGAGCTGGGTACTTATGGCTCTATGGTGGCCAAATTGGGGGGTTTTGGTGTCAAAAGGGGCATTATAGGCATCATTTGCATGGGGCACCAGTATCTGTAACCCCCAATTTATGTGGTACTATAAAAGTCCAGAGATATTGTCCCTCGCCCAAAGTAGGACATACCCAAATAAGTCAGCTCGAATACACTATTCCTGTGTCTGTAGGCATTACATTCACCATTTCTGGGCATCGGAGTTCCAAGCAGACAATAATTTATGCAAATCTTTAAGGGTAACCCTGCGCAACTGGCGTCCATACTAGCACAAATGCTCTTTAATGTAAATGTGGCCATAGTGGGAGGTTCCATTACCAAAAGGGGCAATATAAGTACCGTTAGGGAGGCACCAGAACGCGAAGTAGACCCCTATTTTTGATTGATTGATGATTATTTAACATCGTGTCGCAGTATTACAGCAATATATCTGCTACCCCTATTTTTGTGATATTGTAAGGGTCTAGAAAGAGTTCCTGATCCCAAAAGTAGGACTTGTGTGCCACTTAAATGCGGCTGACACATTATGGCTCAGTGGTGCTACTAATGATTTCGATACCAAAAGGGGCACTATATAGACATCATTTCTGGGCATCATGATCAGTGGCGCCAAGAATATACCATTTTGAGCATAAACCGCCCCACGTTGTGTGATATCGATGTAAGAATTAGCTTCATTCTTAACAGACGAAATAGGTTCAATTCTTTATATAATTTTAAAAATACTATGCACTAATAAAACAGTTGAATAATGTTGGACTTGGGCAATCCCCTTGATTTACTCCTCTATCAAGTTTTGAATAATTTGAAATGTACATGTAAGACTGAATATGTGATCAATTAAATGAAATAAAATACTAGTTATCTGGTCGTTGGATGTCAAGGGGCGTGTCCCAATAACAAGAAAGGAACAACTATCTGTATAAGCCTATCAAATTGTGTGTTACAAGTAAAACAGGAGATGTTTGTAAAACATTTATGGGCATAATAATAATAAATAATTGGAATTTTTCCAAGTCCAAGGGGCATAATTATGTCAAAAATTGCTCGATCGTACCCAAAAGAGAACTTGGCCTAGATATTCTTATGATAAATTTGTGTACCAAATTTCATTTCAGGATGTTAGACCTCTGCGAAGAAAATGAAAGGAAACTGTTGGTTGACAGACAGACAGACCGACAGACCAACTGACAGCGGCAAAGCAATATGCCCTCCCTTCTTCGAAGGGGGGCATAATTAAACTATATACTGATACTTCTTACACATTCGATTTTAGATGCAAAAATTGAGTTTTATTTGTCACAATAAAGTTATGCCAATGCATGTCAGTCATCAAACACACTCAAGAAAGAAAGAAATCTTATTTCATTAACCTTCACATAGTTAAAATGAAAAATGCACGTAATTAAATAAAATTAGATAAATATGTGTATCATTATTATCATTTTCTATTAAATGGGTGTTAGTTTTCCGTTTGTTTACTTATACAGTCAATAACGTTGTGCTTTATCGGGTTCCTGCCTCTCTGTATATTAGTATTATACGTACAAATTCTGTTAAACTGTTAAAAAGAAATAATGTATTGCTTGAGTTGAATTGTGTTTAAGAAAACTAATCAAATAATCGAATACATGTATTTGTTTGCCAATTTAATTGTATGTTGTATAATTAAGATAAAATCTATGTACTGTCACGAATTTTGTACTGAAATGTCCATATAGTTCAAGGTTAAAAAAAAAGTTTAACTCTAGACAAGGAAATATAAATTTGTTTACTTCTAAATTTTCTCAACATTTCACCCTTCCACGTGCCATGGAAGCCTGGCTAACCGTCAGTTTTATCATCTGATTAATTGACATGTTGGAAAGGTTTTGTAACATTTCAGAATTTTTGTCCTTCAGCATGTACTCGTGTTCACTCTGTGGACTGAACAGAACGGACCGTAGTCACATGTCCATACGGTTAGTTTTGTCTTTCATATTAATCTTGAACGTTGATTTTAAAATATCCGAAAATTGTAAGATACTTATGTACATGTATGTTTAATGTATTTTACTGCCACATAAATATTGCATGTTAAAATCATTCTGTAAAAGCGATGTGATGGTTTCATTGCAAGTTTATAACACCCTATCTTTGCGAGAAATATCATATTCGTATATATATGCACGGGCACTTGAATTTAAGTTTTATGTATATCGATAATGAAAACATTTCTAAACCTGCTGTCGATGTGCATAACATTGAATTAAAGTGCACGCGCATCGACCAAGTCGAGATGAGTTTATGTTATACTCCTGGCATTGGCATCGGCGTTCGATTAAAGTTTTAGGAGCAAGTCCATTCCCAAGTAACTATAAGCCTTACCTGAACCGAACTTGCATGGGTAATGCATCTAGAGATATACACCACAGACTTGCTTCAGATGCTGGATCTGACCTACATTTTTCAGTTGAATGAACAGGTTAAAGTTTTTAGAGCAAGTCCATTTCCAAGTAACTGTAAGTCTTGCCTTGGCTCAACTTGCATGGATATTGATCCCGGGATGCACACTAAATGGAAAAAAAATGTTATGAGATTTGCCTTACTTATAGTTAATATTCATGGAGGTGAACTTGGTAATCTTTGATTACCTAAGTTTTGATATTGTGATTAGGGTTTGTATTCTGAACATTTCGCTTAGGATATACAGCTGTGGATGTGATTGTATGATATTATATTTACATCCACTGAATATTATCTCCTTTATTTCTTAAGAAAACCATTGCCGTCAAACTGTCCGTAAACACCTCTACAGTTTTCTGGAGCATTTGCTGTTCCATCAATGAAACCTACAATGACGTGCATATCAATAATACACTATTTCATTACTAAATCCTATTTTGAATGAATATTTGCACAGATATAAATATAAATAATAAAATGTCTTTCTTTCTTTGTTTGTACGGGAATTAACGTTGCAGCTATTGCAGAAAAAATTATTACATAATCCGCCTACGCGGGTTATGCATTTTTTCTGCAACAGCTGCAACATTAATTCCCGTACTAACAACCAAAGAAAGCATTTTATTGTTTAAATAGACTGCAAAGGGATATATATTTTACAAGTATTTCTGTACCCTGTATTAATCAGAGTTGCATGGATGATGCATCTAATGTGTTTCATTACCAGTTTGGTTTGAGATGCTGCACTTTCCATAGAGATGAACAGTTAATGTTTCTTTTTTTTTTTTTTTTTTTTTTTTTTTTGGAGTAGGTTTCATTTTCAAGTAACTTTATAAGTCCAACTAAGATCAAACTTGCATGGATAAATCATCTATGGATGCAGGTTTGCCCAGGATGTAGAATCTTACCTACATTTTCAAATTGCTGAACAGGTTTATGGGGCAGGTCTGTTAAGCAAACTCCAAGTCCTTCATTATCCAAACATGCATGGATTATTAATTAAGGGATAAAGTTTATCAAACATGTTTCATATTCTGGATCTGATCTACATTTTCTGGATGAATGAAAAAGTTAAAGTTTTAGAGCAGTCCATTCAAAATAAAAGTAAACTCTAACTAGACCAAAAGGACATGTGTGATGCAGCTAGAGATGCACACTAAGAGAGAAATTTGCTTCCTATGTTGGATTTGACCTTCATTTTCCGGATGAATGACCTGGTTGATGTTTTTGAAGCAGATTCATTCTAAAGTAACTATAAATAAGCGCTAGCTGGACCAAACTTACAGATGATTCTTCTGTGGACGGTTCCAAGCTAAGACTTGCTTCTAATTCAGGATCTGACCTACATTTTCCGGATGATTGACCAGAGGTTTATTCGCAGGTTACTGTAAGCAGCTGGTAAGTCCTATGCTGATAAACTTTATATATATGATGGATCTAGGGATGCACTCGACTTGCTTGTAAATGTACTCGACTTGCTTGTAATGCCGAATCGTATGAAATCTTAAACATGATGATTGAAAAAAAAATAAATTTCGAGGAAGTCTATTACTAAACCAAACAAAAAATCCTGTCCATACCACACTTGCTTAAATATTGCTCCTATTTGGTGTGAATTAAATTTTGCCTAACGTATAGATAACATTGGTTGTTGTGAGCTTTGTAATCTTTGATTATTCGTGTTTTGATTTTGGTTACCTAACACTTTCATGTAATGCTCAATTTCTGTTGCCCTAATTGTCAGACATACGAGTTAGTGGTGACCTTATGCTATCAAAGATTGTTCAAACATCATATTAATCATATTTTTATAGTAATTCATCACTAGTACAGATCACAATACGCATGAAAAATGGCTTATGAATGCGAAGGAAACAATGAAGAACTTTCACCAAGTAAGCGTGACCATGATCCAGTTAATGTTCCTGAGCAAGATGGCGCCACGGATGTTGATCCCGAGGTTAGACAAAACCCAACAGATCACGGTTATGCTTGGGTTATACTTGCAGGTAAGATTCCGAATTAACACATGATCCTAAATCATTCAGACAGATGCAGTTGCATCTTCTCGGGCCTGTCGGGCAAGTTCTAAAAAACATTTCGAATGAATGTACACCACCGGATGTTAAATTTTTTTATACAAAATGGAGTCGCATCCTATTTATTATTATATTGGATGACTTCTCTTCTGTAGTATATTTTAGATTTTATATCGTTACATTCATTCAATGAAGCTTAGCTCCATGTAAAGTGGTCTCACTACATTTATTTCAATGTTTTTAAAAGGAGGGGTTGTCATGGACGCCTTCGAAACACATTCGAGGTTGTTTAATCGCTTGTCGAAATGCCCGAGAAGTTGCAATTAAGGCAGATAGTAATTGAAGTTCTACCAAAGCCTAGTAGGGTAAAAAAGAAAGATGAAAAAAGTTTGTATTAAAAAAGTTGTGATAATGACCTAATTTCAAATTTCTAGAGACGTAACTATTAATGTGTAAAGCAGTTACTTCAACTTTTTTTATTAGTATCTCGACTTTTTCTCTCCTAATTACGACGTAAGTCTACCTCATAATTACGACTTTTTTTTCTTGTAATGCCAACTTATCATCACTTTATTATGACCTGTCATTTCATAATAATTCTTTTTTCCTCCATCTTCTTAATTTGAACCCATTAGTCTTTTATAAACTACAAATACTTACAAAATCAGGGACCCTTGAGGGCATAGTACAAAACAAAAAATAACCTACATGTGTACCATGCAGATATAATTGCATTTTTTTTTCAACAAGTAACTGGATTTTTTTCACATATTGAAATGTACATGAAAAAAATTATTGAATGTGAAATCGTTTTTTTTCAGCCTCGATGGTTGCGACCTTCATAATTACCGGAACATTCCGAGCGTTTGGGGTATTGTATGTTGAACTTATTCTTACGTTTAATAGCAACGCAACAATGGCATCCTTAGTGCAGGGGCTACTGATCTTCACCTCAAGTACTGGGTGTAAGTTTTTTGCTCGTTTGTTTGTTGTTTAACGTCCTTCTCGAGAATTTTTCACTCATATGGAGAAGCCACAACTTGCCGATGGAGGGCTGCACATTTTCGACCTATACTCGGCACTCAGGGCCATTGAGCAATGAGGGATCTTTTTTTCGTGGCAGCACCTACTGCGACACGGGACCTCGGTTTATACGGTCTCATCCGAAGGACCGGTCTCACGTCCCGCAGTGGATTCGAACACACGACGTAAGGATCAACTCCTTACACCAGAGTCGTACTCTAGAGCAAACGCTCCAACCATTGCCATGCAAGCGACTTTAGGTGTAATTAAGTAGTACAGGGGATACTGATTTTTCACCACAAACATTAGATGTAAGTAGAACAGGGAATACTGATCTTTATCAAGTACTAGATGTAAGTAGTGCAGGGAATACTGATTTTCTCAAGTACTGGGTGTAAGTAGCTCAGAATACTGATTTGCACTCAAGTACTGTGTCATGTTCTAAATTTTGAATTTACCGGGTGGGAGTAAATACAAAATTTAGAACATGACAACTGGATGAAATATGGAGATAACGAACAGTATTCAAGCTCAAAAGACATAAACCCAATACGCAAGTGATAAGGGTAAAATATGAAGATAACGAACAGTATTCAATCTCGAAAGTCCAATGAAACGATACGAATTTGGAGCAGAGCAAACACGGGCCTCAAAATTTAGAGGTTGGATCAGGTGCCATGGAGGAGTGAGCATCCCCTGCCGACCGGTCATACCCGCCGTGTGCTCCTTGTCATGATAGGGAAACAAAATCCGGATATACATGTATCCGTAGACATTTCAGTGTATAAATAATGGCCTAACAATCAGTATGAAAAACGTCAGTCAGCATTTGACTCAATGACAGGTTGTATTTGCCGACAAGGTCTTTGTATCAACCGAAAAACTTGCGAAAAGATGACTTAAAACGAGACTGTTGATATCCTAGTATCCTATATCAACTTGTTTGTCAATAGCTTGCCTCGTTTTAGAAATTGTTCATACGTAGAGCATGCTCTTGCGTATCGAATCAACTGAGGGACATAAACCCCATATGCATGTGATAAGGGTTTATTGCTACATAAGTAAGGGAAGTTGACGATTAAAAAATGAAGTCATCACGTTTATCATAAAGCATGGTCATTAGGTTACCATTAACGTCTTTTTATAGTAAAATATCCAAATATGAAACAGATGTGTCAGACTCTTTGGTATCTTTAATTTCAAGCTCACTGGGATATGTGGAATCGACATTTGAATTGAAGTAACTATTGTTCATTGATAATACGTCATCGATATATCTAAATGTCGAGTTGAAGGCTACAGCAAGTGTTTTTTCTTCTCATGTAGAAGATTTTGAATAACTTTTGCTTCATATGAATACAAATAGGTCTGCTTATAATGGGGCGCAATTGGTACCCATGGAAATTCCGACAGATTGTTGGAGGGATCAGTCTCCAAAAACTACATAGATATTGTCAATCAGAAACTCAAGCATCTTTGACTGTCAACTTCAGAGTACTTGTGTGTACAATCAGAATGTTTTTTAACAAAACAATGTCGCAAATGACCAGTGACGAGGTAAGTAAATTTACGAGTTCCATTTTTATTGAAAAAGCAGCGTCAATAATGTCAAAAAGCCTGGATTTACTTTATCGTGGGGAATGGTTGTATAAAGTGTTGAAAAGTCGTAAGTTTTGACGTTATTGATTTTGTTAAAATTTTGTGATTTCAAATTTTCTATAAGTTCCTTGGAATTTTTAATTATCCACACCTGTTTAAAACCACTTCTTGAATATATTGTTGAACAGTTCTCCTGAAGTTTCTCCTTTACTGCTGTTAATATTTTAGTGAAGAGTAAAAAAGGTTTGGCAGAACATTTACTGGAACTCGCTATGTATCTTTGTAAGGATTTTATGAAGTTTAGGAATCTAGTATAGGTATGGTAATTCAAATTCATTTTGATTGTTGGAAATATTAAAAATATTTAAAACTGACATGTGATTATGATGAATCTCCTCTTTAGAAAGGGAGCTATGGGTATAAGATGGATTACCACTTGCAGAATAAAATCCCGTTCCTCTAAAATACAATTAAAATAATGAGCCTTGCAGACAAAGAAAATGTTGTTACCCGCTTTGTCAGCTTGGGCCAGTACAAACTGATCGTATAATCTACCTAATTCATTTTTTCAAGTAGTGCAGGGATCGAAGACTGATTTTCATTTCATTTACTAGATGTAAGTAGTACAGGAAATACTGATCTTCACCTCAAGCACTGTATGTAAGTAGTGCAGGGAATACTGATTTTGACTGTGCAGGGACCCGGAGTACTGATTTTCATTTCATGTACTAGATGTAAGTTACCTTGGCCATAACTTTTGAACGGTTGGTTCTAGGGCTTTCATACTTCACATTTGTAATCCTTGTGAGAAGACCTTTCTTTGAATACCAATAACTTTGACCCTTTGACCTTGACTTTGGAGTTTGACCTACTTTTGGAAAACTTTTACCTTGGCCATAACTTTTGAACAATTGGTGCTTGGGCTTTCAGACTTCACCTGTGTAATCCTTGTGACAAGACCTTCCTTTGAATATCAACAACTTTGATCTTTTGACCTTGGAGTTTGACCTACTTTTGAAAAACTTTACCCTTGGCCACAATTTTTGAACGGTTGGTGCAAGAGCTTTCATATTTCACATATGTAATCCTTGTGACAAGACCTTTCTTTGGATACCAACAACTTTGACCCTTTGACCTTGGAGTTTTACCTCTTTTTGGAAAACTTTGACCTTGGTCATAACTTTTGGTGCTTTGGCTTTCATATTTCACCTGTGTATTTCTTGGGAGAAGGCCTTTCCTTGGGCACCATTTATTTAGACCAATTGACCTTGACCTTGATGTTTGACATACTTTTGAAAAAAAACGTTAACCTTTTCCATATCTATTCAATGGTTGCTGCTAGGGCTTTCATATTTCACATATTTCACCTCGTAACAAGACCTTACTTTGGGTACCAACATATTTGATTTGCATTTGAGAAAGTTTAACCTTTGCTATAAGTTGCCATACGGGGGCATCGATGTTTCACAAACACATCTTGTTTTCTTTCAGTTTAATTCTTAATTTTGTTAATTCAATTGTGTAATATCATACATGTTTGTATCATGTATATGAATTACCCCAGAGGCTTTTTGTGTCCCCGTAATCGAGGATTCGGGGGTATATACTTTTTGCCTTGTCCCTCCGTCTGTTTATCTGTTTGTCTGTTTGTCCGCCAAAACTTTAACATTGCCCATAACATTTGATTGGTTGAAGCTATTGTATTCATATTTAACATGTGTATTTCTTGTGACAAGACATTCCTCTAGGTACCAACATATGTGACCTCTTGACCTTGGAGTTTGACCCACTTTTGCAAAAAATTACTCAACTTTAACCTTGGTCATAACTTTTGAATGGTTGGTGCTAGGGCCTTCATATTTCACATGTATATTCATTTTGACAAAACCTTTCCATGAGTGTACTTTTGACCTTAGAGTTTGACCCACTTTTAAAAAAAATTAACTTGGCCATAATTTTTGAACAGTTAGCACTAGGGCTTTCAATTTTCACAGGTATATCTATTGTGACAAGACCTTCCTTTGGATACCATCAATTTTGACCTTTTGACCTTGGAGTTTGACCCACTTTTAGAAAACATTAATCTTGACCATAACTTTTGATTGGTTAAAGCTATGGCTTTCATATTTCACGTGTGTATTCCTTGTGAAAAGATCTTCCTGTGGGTACCAACATATTTGACCTCTTGACCTTGGAGTTTGACCCACTTTTGCAAAAAATCACCCAACTTTAACCTTGGCCATAACTTATGAACGTTTGGTTCTAGGGCTTTCATATTTCACATGTGTATTCATCGTGACAAGACCTTTCCATGGGTGTAAATATTTCTGACCTTTTGTCCTTGACCTTAGAGACTGACCCACTTTTAAAAAACTTTAACCTTGGCCATAACTTTTGAACAGTTAGTACTAGGGCTTTCAATTTTTACAGGTACATCCATTATATACATTGACACAAGTCCTTTCTTTGGGTAACAACATTTTTGATCTCTTGAACTTGACCTTGAAATTTAACGTGCATTTGAGAAACTTTAATTTTCGTCATAAGCTGCCATACGGGGGCATCAGTGTTTCACAAACACATCTTGTTTAAAGATATTAACATTTTTACCTAATCCTTGATTCAATAAAAAGAGATCCTTTTTTATTGAACAAAGGATAGATATTTACATTAATTTCATTCAGTATCTACAAGTGACACGAAGAATATTAATATGCAACATACAACATACCCGTACAACAAAGAGGCAGTTCCGTCCTGTTATCATGTTGTAGATTTTGAATTTACTAGGTAGAGGTAAGTGCAAAATTTACATGATAATTTTTTTTTTTTGTATTTACCTCCACCTAGTTAATTCAAAACCTACAACATGATAACGTGGTGAGCAAATGGATTTGTGGAGATATAAAGCGTTTTCTTTATTCATGGTTGTATCTCGTACAAAGACATTTGAAAATGTAAATACATGTAGATGGGGATAATACAGTCTTGTTTGTGTCAACCTATCGATACCATAGGAGGATAAACTTTTAGAAGTAGACATCAGTCTGCGAATTTGAAACCATTAAAATAGGGGTGAAAAAGTTCTCAGAATTATAAATAAATTAGACAGAAAAACATAGCATGTTACGCGTTTTGTATGGAGCGCCAAATGAACAATCTATTTGAGGATATTAATTTCAATTATTGCACGCAGTAGTGGAATTTAGGCGCAGCACAATGCAATTATTGTTCTCAACAGTTGAATTGATTTGCGCATGAATTGAATTGTTAAGCACAACTAATGCTTGCAAAAGCTATTTTAAACGAAGCTCTATATGAATGATTTGCTGTTTTTCTTTAAATTTATTATTGTTAGTGAATATCTTTACCATGAAAAAGAAATGTATTAAAAGAAATAATCACGCATTAATTCTTTTAAAGAGAGTAATAATTCAATAAAAGAGATCATCATTTAAATTATGGTTATGTTGAATAAAAGACATTCCGCATAGGACTTGCCATTTAAGATATTTCTGATTACACATGTAAATAGGTCCTCTCTCTCGCTCTCTCTCATATAATGCGCATTATAATTGAATCACTAAAATCTTCAACTATATGAAGAGATCTTTAATTGATCGTTGCGCGCATCAATTCAATTGATGATATATCCAAATAATGAAATTGGTGTTGTCCCATCATGAGTGAAATATTCTCGATGGGACGTTAAGCAAAGAAACAAACTATTCCTGGGCGTTTTATTTACGATTAGCTGTACTGGATCTCTTTGATTTTACATGAAATCTTGAGACATGACCTTAGTTTGATAGAAGTCCTGTTTGATTTTCAGCGGTTCTGGTTCTTGTCTTCGGTCTGCGCCGGTTCTCTCCACGGTTTTGGGTTGTATTAGGAGGTTTCTTCTATTTCTTTGGCTTTCTGACCAGTAGCTATGCAGTGTCGATAGAGTTTCTTCTCTTCAGCTATAGTTGTTTGACTGGTAAGTTAAGGTATTTTATGGAAAATTACTTTAGCAAAGATGTGAGTTATTTATAAGAATGATGGTTTGTGTCTATTCTTTTAGGATTTGGAATGGCGTTTTCGTTTTCGTCCATAGTTGTCACTGTAGGAAATTATTTCGATAAGAAACGAGGGTTTGCGAATGGCTTAATGATGGCAAGTGGAAGCCTTGGAAGTTTGGTGTTTGCGCCATTTTTACGTCTGCTGCTGGATGAATACTCCGTAAGAGGTTCTCTTTTGATTGTGGCAGCCATATCTACCCACATCATTGCTTGTGGAGCCTTACTGCGCCCGCCATCGTTTGCTACCAGAATTAACGACAAATGCCGTGCAATGATAGCCCAGAATGCACACAAAGAAGAAAAAGGCAAGTTAATACTTAATAGAGACAATGTTTGCAGAACAAATAAACCTCTCTTTTCATCAGATCCAAGTTTATTTCTTCAAAATGGAATGTTTAAACCATTCGAGCCCCAAACAAAAAGCATTAGTACCGAAATGATACATAAAACTAAACATTTTGGTAGTCATTTAACAACTTCTCTGAGAGATTACAATATTGAAAACTTTTGTATCAGTGTATCCGCTATAGATCTAAATTCTGAGATCAAAGACAAAAAAGTTGTGAAAATAAATAAAGAGCAGTTCTTCAATTTCAAGATATTGAAAAACGCCTCGTTCTTGCGACTTTTATTCGCTTACACAGTGGGATCCATTGGTACAAGCCTTCCACAGAATTATTTACCGGCGCTGGCTATGGAAGAGGGAACGGAAGCGACGAATGCCGCACTGCTGATCACCGTTAGTAGCTTTTTCGACCTACTCGGGCGCATTATGATTGGATATGTTTCGGACAAGAGACTGGTCAGACGTTCTTACTTAATAGCAGTCAGCATGGCTCTCAGTGGTGTTGTTCAGTGTTTGTCTCCCTTTTATAAAGACTACTGGAACCTTGTTTTATTCAGTGCGTTCTATGGATTCTTTTCTAACTTTATTTCTGCCTTGTATTCCGCCACGTTGCTAGATATCCTTGGACTTGATGACTTCCGGAGCGCCCTTAGTGTGATGTATTCTGGGTATGGTATTATGAGCGGTGCAGCAGCTCCATTCATTGGTAATTTTTATTATTCTCCTATTTATATTTCTCTTTTACTTGAATAAAACATTATTGTTGTTGATTTCTTCGACATAATTGTCATCTGTTGGTAAATGGGGGGGGGGGGGGGGGGTCCATAGAAAACAAAAATAATACGATAAACGATAACTGATGAAATCCAAAGCTTTCCATTTTTAAAAGTCCTTATTGGGCCTTTATGGTCATCTGATTTCCATGCAAAACTTTTCTAAAACGTTTCCTATCTAAATCTATTTAATAAGTTTTACTGAGCGATCCTCCCAAAATATGATGCTGGACCGCTCAACGAGACGTTGGACCGCCATGACATTTTTTGGGCAATCGTTAATCTTCAGTTAAGGGGGGGGGGCTCATCCGCATTGCAGGTAAATAAATTACACTAAACTTCTGTCATCCACATCGCAAACTTACGCTAGCGCAAGATTTGTATTAGAAACATTTTTAAGGTTTAAGAAAACAATAATAATGACCTGGTTTTCGTGAAAAATGCGATCGACCGAACCCTCAAACCACACAGTTGTCTTCGACCTAACGATTTGGTTCTCGTTTCCCTCGAACCCAGCCAATAAATTTAAATCAATCAGCGTTTCCTTTGAAATTTTTGGACAGAAATGCAGTTCCACGCAAAATTTGAGCATCAAAATTATTTTTGGATGGTTTTCCCTTTGGGTTTGAAAAATTTGGAATATAAAAATTACTTTTTCTAAATTTTATAAAGATTGATTATTTGCTTTTTTTTTGTAGGTGACCTAAGGGACAAGACGGGGACCTATGTGACCTGTTTCTATTTATTCGGGGCCGCTCACATCCTCTCCTCTATTGTGTTATTTACTGAGTGTGTTTCCTGTTCATGATGTACTGTTATGTTACAATATTTAGTTTTTAATTCTACTGATCACAGACCATAAGAGACTTGTGCATTTGTAAATCCAGTGTCTTCTTGACACTTGTTCGAAATCTTACTACTCCTACATGTTATTTTTGCTGACTTGGCATATGTAGACAATGGCACACACTATCCCTTTTAGTTTGACATGGTCGTTATCAGAGTGAAATGAAACATGAAGCTAACAAACAGTAATAATGTCCAAAAGTCAAATTAAGCAATACAAACGGTAAGCAGAGCAAGCACGGACCTCTGAAAACAGAAGTAGGATCAGGTGCCCCGGAGGAATGAGCATCCCCTGTCGACTGGTCATACCCAGGATCCTATTTAAGCCGAGACCAGGGCCTGGAGACACCTTGTGTCCCCCAAGCAATAATCCACACACATATATTTGTGATATTTAAAGGAAGAAAGGCTCTTTTGGAGCAATGTAAAATGAATAACTAAATTTTAGTCAGTACACATGTACTTAGTATTTACTTGCCACATACTTCATGGTATGAGAAGACCCACGAATTCATATTCTCCACAAAATATAAAATTTCAAATACTAGTGCATAAAATTTTTTAACCACGAATTCAAATCCCCAAGAACTAGTTTTTTTTCCTCTTACCACGAAAATTTGACCCCACGAAAACTTGTGATTTTACAGTAATCTACCAACATTTATGTCTATTCTTATCTTTTCTGACCCCTTCACATGACAAAGATGACCAACAACATAATTTCTGTGGATGTGTAGCATAACCAGAATTTGTTCTGCGTCTTTATGTTTCAATTCACCATTTTCCCACCAAAGATTGGTAGCCCAAGATGAATCCTGGGTTCAGCACTTCAACCCTGAATAAAAAATTCAAAGCAAGCAGTGCAAACACTTCAATTCTCCACTCCCAAAGACGTTCAGGCAGAAAACATAATCAGGGGGGTGGCTTCTGTTTATTTTCTTGTAAAGTGCCTTGTTTTTAAAATTAGAAGACAGAAGCTTTTACCCTTCCAATACATGTATTAGTTTAGGTATAAGAAGTCAGGAAAATAAGAAGAAATGGGTTGTTCAGCTGCATTTGTCAAAGAAAGAACTTTTGGTAAGGTCAGCAGCATTAAGCGGAATTTGTCCAACAGGGTAACTCAGTCGATATAGAGCGCTCGCTCCGTGATCGGGATGCTGTTGGTTCGAGTATCCCCGCGACAAACCTTTGTCGATAAAAAAAAAAAAGCAACTGTTCCCTCGCTAGGCACTCGGCACCTTGAAGTGAAAGTTGCCGCGGTCTTTCAGATGAGACTTTAGAAATCGAGGCCCCTGTCATATCATGTGCTGGCACGCTAAAGATTCCTCACTGCTCAATGGCTCTGAGTGCCGAGTAAAGGTAAAAATTTGAAGCCCTTCGCTGGCATATGGTGACGTCTCGTTTGAGTGAAATAATCTTGCAAGGGAAGTAAAACTACAATACATCAATCCATCAAAGTGATTATAGTAAAGTCAACTGAATTAAGCGGTATATTTGTCCAACAAAGTGATTCATTGAGATAATGCCGCTAAATTCACCATGCAGAAACACTTGGTAGAACAAATGCTGCTCAATGCATGATGACATCATCAGACGCTACTCAATGCCGCTGGCTTCACCAGAATCACTGTGATGGACGCTAACTTTACCTAAAGCACTGTGTTTGATAGATGCCGCAGACTTCACCAAAAGCACTTTGTTGAACAAATGTCTCTTAATGCCGCTGACCTCACTAGGAAATCTGTGATGGACAAATACCGTTCAATACCGGTGACTTTACCAGAAGTCCATGTTTTGACAAATGCCGATGACCTTATAAAACGGATCCCTGCTTTCAATCCCATTCCTGGAGAAAATGCCAAGTCCTGTAAAGGAAGAAAAATCTAGCATAGTGTCAAAGTGTATACCGTGTTGGACAAATGCCACTCAATGCCGCTGATTTGATTAACATTTTTCTAGACAAATGCAATGTGTAGAAAAATTCTCAAGAAATTTTCAAGAAGGACTTTTATGTATTATTACTCGGGTATTTTAAAGAATTTTTCTAAAAACAGAATAAACTTTCGTAATTTCTCACATGAAGGAATAGCCTCCAAACAGAGCACATTGAAGTAGAAATTAAAAAATTAAATTTCTAACCCCCAGCTTATACTTTCACGTAAATAAAGACGAATTATAAATACTACTGGGATTATCTCTCTTTGCAAATTAAAACGTATTGTAGTATTTTATATCTGAGACAAAAATTCAATAAAAACTATAATTATTACAGAGCTAATAAATACAATAAAAACTATAATTATTACAGAGCTAATAGATACAATAAAAACTATAATTATTACAGAGCTAATAAATACAATAAAAACTATAATTATTACAGAGCTAATTAATACAATAAAAACTATAATTATTACAGAGCTAATAGATACAATAAAAAGTATAATTATTACAGAGCTAATAGATACAATAAAAACTATAATTATTACAGAGCTAATAGATACAATAAAAACTATAATTATTACAGAGCTAATAAATACAATAAAAACTATAATTATTACAGAGCTAATAAATGCAATAAAAACTATAATTATTACAGAGCTAATAGATACAATAAAAACTATAATTATTACAGAGCTAATAAATACAATAAAAACTATAATTATTACAGAGCTAATAAATACAATAAAAACTATAATTATTACAGAGCTAATAAATGCAATAAAAACTATAATTATTACAGAGCTCATAGATACAATAAAAACTATAATTATTACAGAGCTAATAAATACAATAAAAACTATAATTATTACAGAGCTAATAAATACAATAAAAACTATACTTATTACAGAGCTAATAGATACAATAAAAACTATAATTATTACAGAGCTAATAAATACAATAAAAACTATAATTATTACAGAGCTAATAAATGCAATAAAAACTATACTTATTACAGAGCTAATAGATACAATAAAAACTATAATTATTACAGAGCTAATAAATTCAATAAAAACTATAATTATTACAGAGCTAATAGATACAATAAAAACTATAATTATTACAGAGCTAATAAATACAATAAAAACTATAATTATTACAGAGCTAATAAATACAATAAAAACTATAATTATTACAGAGCTAATAAATACAATAAAAACTATACTTATTACAGAGCTAATAGATACAATAAAAACTATAATTATTACAGAGCTAATAAATACAATAAAAACTATAATTATTACAGAGCTAATAGATACAATAAAAACTATAATTATTACAGAGCTAATAAATACAATAAAAACTATAATTATTACAGAGCTAATAAATACAATAAAAACTATAATTATTACAGAGCTAATAGATACAATAAAAACTATAATTATTACAGAGCTAATAGATACAATAAAAACTATACTTATTACAGAGCTAATAGATACAATAAAAACTATAATTATTACAGAGCTAATAGATACAATAAAAACTATAATTATTACAGAGCTAATAGATACAATAAAAACTATAATTATTACAGAGCTAATAAATACAATAAAAACTATAATTATTACAGAGCTAATAAATACAATAAAAACTATAATTATTACAGAGCTAATAGATACAATAAAAACTATAATTATTACAGAGCTAATAGATACAATAAAAACTATAATTATTACAGAGCTAATAGATACAATAAAAACTATAATTATTACAGAGCTAATAAATACAATAAAAACTATAATTATTACAGAGCTAATAGATACAATAAAAACTATAATTATTACAGAGCTAATAGATACAATAAAAACTATAATTATTACAGAGCTAATAAATACAATAAAAACTATAATTATTACAGAGCTAATAAGTACAATAAAAACTATAATTATTACAGAGCTAATAAATACAATAAAAACTATAATTATTACAGAGCTAATAAGTACAATAAAAACTATAATTATTACAGAGCTAATAAATACAATAAAAACTATAATTATTACAGAGCTAATAGATACAATAAAAACTATAATTATTACAGAGCTAATAAATACAATAAAAACTATGATTATTACAGAGCTAATAAATACAATAAAAACTATAATTATTACAGAGCTCATAGATACAATAAAAACTATAATTATTACAGAGCTAATTAATACAATAAAAACTATAATTATTACAGAGCTAATAGATACAATAAAAACTATAATTATTACAGAGCTAATAAATACAATAAAAACTATAATTATTACAGAGCTAATAGATACAATAAAAACTATAATTATCACAGAGCTAATAAATACAATAAAAACTATAATTATTACAGAGCTCATAGATACAATAAAAACTATCATTATTACAGAGCTAATAAATACAATAAAAACTATCATTATTACAGAGCTAATAGATACAATAAAAACTATAATTATTACAGAGCTAATAGATACAATAAAAACTATAATTATTACAGAGCTCATAGATACAATAAAAACTATAATTATTACAGAGCTAATAGATACAATAAAAACTATAATTATTACAGAGCTAATAAATACAATAAAAACTATAATTATTACAGAGCTAATAAATACAATAAAAACTATCATTATTACAGAGCTAATAGATACAATAAAAACTATAATTATTACAGAGCTAATAAATACAATAAAAACTATAATTATTACAGAGCTCATAGATACAATAAAAACTATCATTATTACAGAGCTCATAAATACAATAAAAACTATCATTATTACAGAGCTAATAAATACAATAAAAACTATCATTATTACAGAGCTAATAAATACAATAAAAACTATAATTATTACAGAGCTAATAAATACAATAAAAACTATAATTATTACAGAGCTAATAAATACAATAAAAACTATAATTATTACAGAGCTAATAAATACAATAAAAACTATAATTATTACAGAGCTAATAAATACAATAAAAACTATAATTATAACAGAGCTAATAAATACAATAAAAACTATAATTATTACAGAGCTAATAAATACAATAAAAACTATAATTATTACAGAGCTAATAAATACAATAAAAACTATAATTATTACAGAGCTAATAAGTACAATAAAAACTATAATTATTACAGAGCTAATAAATACAATAAAAACTATAATTATTACAGAGCTAATAGATACAATAAAAACTATAATTATTACAGAGCTAATAAATACAATAAAAACTATAATTATTACAGAGCTAATTAATACAATAAAAACTATAATTATTACAGAGCTAATAGATACAATAAAAACTATAATTATTACAGAGCTAATAAATACAATAAAAACTATAATTATTACAGAGCTAATAAATACAATAAAAACTATAATTATTACAGAGCTCATAAATACAATAAAAACTATAATTATTACAGAGCTAATAAGTACAATAAAAACTATAATTATTACAGAGCTAATAAATACAATAAAAACTATAATTATTACAGAGCTAATAGATACAATAAAAACTATAATTATTACAGAGCTAATAAATACAATAAAAACTATAATTATTACAGAGCTAATTAATACAATAAAAACTATAATTATTACAGAGCTAATAAATACAATAAAAACTATAATTATTACAGAGCTAATAGATACAATAAAAACTATAATTATTACAGAGCTAATAAATACAATAAAAACTATAATTATTACGGAGCTAATAAGTACAATAAAAACTATAATTATTACAGAGCTAATAAATACAATAAAAACTATAATTATTACAGAGCTAATAAGTACAATAAAAACTATAATTATTACAGAGCTAATAAGTACAATAAAAACTATAATTATTACAGAGCTAATAAGTACAATAAAAA